GCAGGGCGGGCAAAAAATCGCCGAAGAGACTTAGGCTATGGAATCCTGTTCCTGCCATCATTAATCCGTCTTGGGTTGCAAAGTTGGACCACTGTTTGAAACCAACCGCTGTTGGGGATCTATGTCGGCTTATTATTGTTAAGGATTTAAATTTAGTATTAGGGTTCCCTAATATTAAATATTTGCCTAATACTAAAAGCTACCTGCCGTGTTTAGTAATAGAGGGGGGGGCGTTTAGTATTAGGAGGAAGGGAATTATTTTATATTAGTATTTTTTCGGGAACTACCGTAATTTAAAATATATATCATGAAAAAAAACAATAATAATTAACATATTATTATTATTTCCCATTAAATTTCGATATTTCTTTAATAAAATTTTATATATTTATATTTTTTTCCCAATAACGTAAGCCAATGGGGTCTTCAGCCCAGAATAGCTCCAGTGTGCACTGGTGCAGGTGCCGGGTCAGGTTCAACGAGATTTCAGAAAAAGGTTCCGAAAATTCCGGAGATAATTACGGGAAGTTTTGGTACAAGGCCAAATCAGATTCAATAGGTTCCAGAAAAAATTCCGGAGAAGGCCTAGGAGGCTTCGGTACAGAGCCGAATCAGATTCATCAAATTTCCGGAAAAAAATCCGGATAAGAAAAATTTCCCGAAGAAGGTATGGGAAATTTTGCTGTAAGGAGTCAGAACAGGGTTCCGGAGAAGGTTCCGGAAAAGGTTCCGGAGAAGGTTCCGGAGAAGGTTCCCGGAGGCTTGGGTCAAATTCAACAAGGTTTTGGAAAAGATTCCGGAGAAAATCTGGGAGGTTTTAGTACAAATCCAGGTTGTATTTAATAGGGATCCGGAGAAATTTCCAGAGAAATTTCCGGTAAATTTTAGTATAAAACCAATTCAAATTCAACGAATTCTAGAAAAAAATACAAAAGCCAAATCAGGTAATCAAATTCATATAATTTATAGAAAACCAATTATATTATATATTAAATATTTATATCTAAATCGATATTGGAATTTAATATAATATAAAACAATATATATTTTATATAATATATCGTAATTTTACATTATATAAATTTATTATAAAAAAAATAATTAGAATTTTTAAAATAACAATATATATATTTAAAATTCTAAAAATTATAAAAAAATATATATAATAATTTTAATTTTATAAATAAGTTATAAATAATTTTTTATTATTATATTTATTCTTTTAATAATAATAATAATTATATTAATAATAATAATAATTATTATATTTAATATTTATAATTATTTTTAAAATATATTAAGAAAATAAATATTAAAAAATATAAATTATATTATAATTAAATAATACATAATAAAATATAATTTAACCATATTTTCCAAATTATTTTTATAATTTATTATTTTATTTTAAATTATTTTAATTTATATAAATATATATTATTTATATTAAATTAAAAAAAATCTTCTATTATAATATTAATTTATTAATAATCAATATTTCAAATTTATTTATATTTAATTATTTCGATTTTTTAATTAAATAAAAAAAATAAATTCAAAACACATATTTTAATATAATATATAAATTTCTTAAATATAAATTATATTTTTAATTATATATTAAAAATTATTTCTAAATATTAAATAACAGGAAGGTTCGCGAACCGAACCGGAAACCGCCCAAAAACCGGCAGTTAGGAAACCGAACCGAACCAAACCGCTAATGTATAAAATAAGCTCCCGAACCGGACGAACCGGAGGGAGGAACCGGATGCGAACCGCCGGCATGTACTCTGTTTGTTTCTCTCAAGCAAACATTCCCTTCAATCTCTGCCCTCGTATTAGATTTATTTTTTTTTGGAAGCCCCACAAAAACCAAAAATATAATCCTTGTGCCCTCCTATTAGATTTATTTTTTCTGACAACACCAAAAAAGCAAAAACGCAACCCTTATACCCTTCTAATTGTTTTTTTTAAATGCACCACAAAAACAAAAAACACACTCCTTGTGCCCTCCTATTAGATTTGTTTTTTTAGAAGCCCCAAAAAAAGCAAAACCATAATCCTTATACCCTCCTATTAAAAAAGAAAAACGAAAACAGCCTCTACGACCAAGTCCACCTAACGCAACGTATCCTTAACATAAATCATAATAACCAACTAACTAGGAACATGTTTTGCTTTTTTAAATGGCCGTAAAAAGCAAATACCAAAACCATAACTTACTCCGAACCGGTTAGGAACCAAAAACCAAACCGGTTAGGAACCGAAAACCGAACCGAACCGTTTTTTAAATTATATCCCGAGGAACCGAACCGAACCGGGAACCAGAAATTCACCAATTCCTAGAAACCAAAACGAACCAATCCCACCCTGAAAAAATTATAATAAAATAATCCATATAATATATAATTTTTATAATACTTTATTATTATTAATATATAATCGAAATTCAAAATCAAAAAAAATATTAAATTTTCAACATAATTATATATACGATAAACACAATTATCAATATAAAAATATCAATATAACATAATATAACATAACCAATCCTAAATATTAGTTTAAATATATATATATTTAAATATATATATATTTATTTCCTATATATAATATTTAAATCTAAAACATATTAAATATAAAATCATATAAACTATTAAATTAAAACGCATAGTCATAAGAAACAAATACTAGTATATCGTAAAATATAGTTATAGATTATAACAAATAAACAAATATGGAAGCAATCGCAATACATAATAATATTGATGTAATCAATTCTCTGTATTGGGATTGAATTATAATTATATGTATATGGTTTGTAACTTACTTTTTTTTTGAATTGTTTGATGCAAGTCATTCAATCTTAAATAATTATGAGTAATTAGTTAGGTTCAAGCTAGTCAAATTCTTCTCAAAAGATGCCGCTGGACATATTCAGCCTGACATGAGGGCAATGCAGGAATGCGAAATCACACCAAATAGCTGGACATAGCTGGACTAACAAATAAGTTGTTTTGGTTCAACATGGCTCAACAGTATCACCGCAATTCTACTTGTGGTTGTCCGGAAGTTGGTCCAAAAATGACATCTGACCATCCTCGGAGTTGCTTCCAATGATTTCCGTCCGCTGCAGCCAGCAGATCCGGACAGCTGAAAAAAAAGGCCTGGGCATCCCTTGTTGATCCACTGCCACATGTCGACCCTGCCGGCAGATTGTGGGGAAGGGCTAGTTGATCCTGGAATGATCTGGTAGATCGCACCAGGATTGGAAGACACGTGGTACAAAATGGTACAAAGGTACAAGCGGTGATGCCTAATGAGTCACTTTTCTTGCAGCAGCAGCCCCTACACAAGATGCATACAAGATCTACAATGGGACAAGGGAATACAATGCCAAAGCATCATCCAGGTGTTTCAGTTGTTCAACCCTGGCACAGGCTGCAACCTCCAGTTGGAAAGCATTTCAGTGGGACGCTCGGCTGAATGGTCCTATTTCCGTGGATGGTATGCTTGGGATTGCTGCAGGCCATTCCTAATCCATCACCAACTTCACCAGTTTTTTAGACGGGTGTTTTTCCAACTTTCCAACGTACGTGCCACCAAAAAACCATGACTTGCCGAGTTTTTGATGATGGCATGCGCCATCATGCGCCATCATGCGCCCTCCCACCGTTCCACCGCACCTCTCGAACTTTGGGAGGCGTCAGCGGCCTACTACCATCGTCCCAGGCCAAGATGTTCCTCTGGAAATCCCGGGAAACATAGGGACTATGGCAGGTAGTTAGTTCCATGCCATGCCCCACAAAATCTACAAAGACCCGAGGGTATAAGACGCCAAAGAAATGTGGAGCAGTATGGAGCAGTGATATCCTGAGGAATGGAGATAATATGAAATAATCATAGATTGAACCAAACAAATTGTGATGTAAAAACGAGGAGGAACAGAAAGGTTGGAACCAAAGCACACAATGCGATCCAAGATTTTGCACAATGCGCAAGAGTTTGAATGTGAAAGAAGACTGTGTGGTACAGAAACAATCAGGTGTTCTCAAACCCAAGACATTCAGTCCCCACTTGAAAAACAGTGGGCCAACTCCAGCCAGGTTTTGGCTTACTCAAGTGCGACCCTCTCCTTCAACAACCACGGATTGGGCATATCATGTCCCCAAGAGGGTTTGTGGATGGGACCAAGACTTCTTGAGTTTGAACGAAACTGACATGTGCAAATAGGGTACTACAGACTGCAACCTAAATATTTACTGGTTGTACTGGTTGCCGAGTGGTGCATTCGGTCTTCTCGTCATTCTCATCTGAAACACGCAGTGAAAAGCAGGGCAGCATTCCCCACCACTCATTTATAGTTTCGAAAAAACATCAACCTACACTTCACCAAGGCCCAGTGGGTGTCATCAACACAGCACGGTTACGGTTGGGAGACCCGACCCGTGGCCACTTCTGTTGCGGGCAGAGAACGCTTCCCTCTGAATGTCTGCCTGTTGACGCTTGGACGGTGGACCCTTGAATGGCGTGGGTCAAGTATGAATCTAGAAATCTTCAAAAATTCAACACCTAAGCTTCCAGATTTCGAAGGCGTGTTCATACCTTCCCCCTACTATGAACTCTGTTTTTCAGGAAACACTGGTTTAAGGTTTAGTATTGAATCTATTCATTTTCAAATCCCTAATTTGAGGGTATTCAACTCTTTACGGCTGAAAATTGAAATTGTAGAGTCCTTGGTTCAACCTAGATTACACACACACATATATATATATATACACGACTATAGATGTATATTTACTCGATATAATATATACATTTAATATACATGTACACATTCATGGCACCCAGCCTCAGAGATTCCACTTGCACCAGAGGCGATACCTCAGAGCCATGGCTCTACCAGAGATGGGGTGGACAGTCCTGATGAACCTGAGGTATCATCCATTGTATGTGGATACGCATGATACACATGAAACACATGGAATCAAATGAATCCATATGGTATATCATGTAATAATATGTAATATTACTGTAATATCTATTTGATGTATGGAATTGAACACATGGGAGAACTATGGGTAAATCAAGTCAGATACCCTGCAAGGAAGTTATGTTTAAGCTTGGTATGAATACGTATTTATGGCATTTTCAACCTACTGGTGGAAAACAATTCCTGAAGTACGCAACCAACTAACAAATGGAGCCAACGTCGGAAACCAAGAAAAATGAATCAATTTGGGACGCGGTTCCAACATATTCCACCAACATAGCTCCATCCTGCAAAGGCACTGCGCCTGATTTTCTGGCACCCGCACTAAGATTCAACTTTTCTGCTGTATAGGCTTCAAATTCTGCGAACTGATAAAAGAGAGAACCCACAGCTGGATTAAACAGTAGTTTGTGGAAGCACTCCAGCATATAATGGGCTGTAGGTACGCGCTCTCTCCGTTTAGTGCAAAATTAGGGTCACATCATGGGTACGTCGAAACTGGTCCAAATTTGGGGACGTTTGCTCTATGTCGCATTTTGTGCGATGCACATAAAGAGAAATGGACAAGAGCCTGGCTTTACATACCAAAGAATTGTAGTGTCGAGGTTTCACAACATCCATTTTTACATGTGAACAATCAATTTTTCCAAGTGCACAAGATGGAATTATGATTCTGAGTTAGACCTCACTCTCCAGCTTTGTATCCACAATTGCCCCCTGCAAACTCCACAGCCGCGTCATGGCTGATAGGGCCCCAACTCGCTGTTTCGACTCTGTCATGTCTTCGGGGCCTTGGAAACCATGACAAGGCTCTGGTTCTCTCAGGTTCTGTCATTTGTTTGATGACTGGAAAACTAATCGTTCAAAGCATTCACAACTGAGGCACACAAGTGACAAATGAGGGCAAATGGATTGTTTTACTTTCGAGATGTTGGTTCTAATTGGTCTAGTCGGTTGAACCATGTTTCAAATCCAAATTTGATTGTGCATGATTATGCTAATATATCTTTCCGACACGCTTCGAAACCTGCCAAGGCAAAACAAGGCGAATGTAACCACCATGTATTTGGAATAGCGGACGGCGCTACAACATGCCCCATGTGCGGCAAATACATGGCACGCAACAGAAATCAAGCAATGGACATTGGTTTCCCAATCTTTCGACCAAAGATGTCGAGATCATCCTGAGCGGTTGCCGGCCAGACATGTAATTTTCCTACGGGGTGACTTGGTGGCATAAATGGCCTAAATAACTTGGTTGATTCGAACATAAAGCACAGGAAACATTTGTCTTTCGCATGAAACTGGGTGTTTTCTTGCAGATTTTTCATCATCCAACTCTGGGAGGGCAATTTTACTTTTTTTCAATCTGATTTGAACCTCTGAAACAACATGAGGCAGGTTTGCTTTTGGCACGCCCGCCTGCAAAGTACACTGGGCATCCTGGGCACCTTTTAAAACCATCCATTTCGGCAGCTTATACCTAACTGTCCATTTCGGAACTCAATTCTTCAATTCTTCCCCAGGAAACCATGAAATTCCCATTCAACATCATTAAACCCCAAAAATCCAACATCCCCAAGTGTCTTCCAGCGGCCTGTGGTTTTTCCGCATTCAAGTCCTGGTGGACGAAACCAAGGGCCCCTAGTTGGACGTAGCATATATCACGTTTATTCACAATAACATATGCTATATAAAGAATACATACTATACTAATATATATATATATATTAATCACAAACTATAAGAAATAAATAGTATCCACAATATTCAGTATACCATACCATAGCAGCTAATATGTATGTAACACATAAAAAGAACACAACATATTTAAAACCATGCTCTAAACCTTTTCAAATACATAGCTGAACAACGAGAAAACTATAAATAAATGTTCAATGAACATGTAAAAAATGCACCTGCAATATGTATATTTCAACACGTGCTTTATCATTTGTAGCCATGTTGGAAACACAAACAACAGATTTGAATATGTAACTATATGTTACATATATAATTAAACAATATTACGCATACACGCCATTGCCGAGCTTGAGAGAATGTTTATGGTTACATCAGAACAGTCATTGTGAGAAAGTAGAAGAGAAGATGTTGGACTGTAACATCAAGTATGTGAAACAGTTAGAAGACCATGAAGCATGTGAGAAAGCGGCAGAGAGAATGTTAGAGTCTAGAGTCTAGTCTAGAGCATAACAGCAAATATGCAAGAAAATACAAGAGGCGTTCATGCAACCCTCCAAATCCCCTGCACACCCCAAACCCTCCCCTGGACCCCCCAGAACACATGACACAACGTGTGACGCGCGCGCGCGCTCCTAGAGGCGCTGACGCCAAAAAGCGTAAGAGAAAATCTACTGAAACTATGGTTTTACAATAAATTCATTTTTTTAAATAACCGGCTGCCAGCCAGTTAGTCGCCGGGCTGATCATGTAAGCATATTCCATGAAACTACAGCCCAACCCGCATCCAAACCACACAATGCGAACCGATGCTCCTCAGGAACGTCGTCTTCGGGAACGTCAACTGTGGCTGGGAATGATGGTTTTGTCCAATCCAAAATGATGAATTTTAATGCATGTTATGCACTGATGTGTTTCTGAATAGATTCCTGGATCTGTTGTCCCGAAGCCTGGCATCTTTCATCATCTTTCCCAAGCAATCAGGATCCCATTGGGCCAACTGTTTTTGAACATCTGCAGAACCGAACATCTGCAGGACCGTCGGCGACGTGCGACGCCAACAACAACCCCAATTCCGATTGCTAAGGCTTTCGCATGTTTTAACCATCTTTGAGACTTTTTGGCACATTCTGGTGTGATCAAAATCCGTTTTTGTGTACCAACTTTGCCATGCAAGGTCCTTCATAAACCCAACAAAAAGTGATTGCAGGCTGCAAAACAAATCGCACTCACATCTTTAGCAGTATACGATCCCTGAAGGACCCATGGCAAAACAACCCCAAGGCCCTGCCTAGACCTCGCATTTTGCCGCTCCCTGGCCTAGCAAACACTGAGGAAATTCCATCAAGTGCTCAGCTCCAACTGTTCTGACCCCAAATCACAGCCACCTTTGGAGTTTCGAGTATTCCAAATCAACCCCCAAAACAGGACACGTGTGTCGCCTGAATCTCCTGAACATGGATGTAACATGATGTAACCACATCGAAACCTGGTGGATCTTTCTGCGTTGGGCCTGGGAACCCTATATGTTTCCTCCCCTTCTTTGGGTCAAAAATTGAACTTCCCATTGAAGAATCTGGAGTCACGTGAGTCGTAGGTCCGCTAAGACTGGTTTGACCCTCCGGTTTACCATCAGGAAGGCTTTCCGCGCATGGTTGGTGGCATACTTCATCACACTGCCACCCTACACATGTTGGACATATGAAGAAATATGAATGGCTGATGTCATTCCAATCACCAAAATTTTGACCTGTTTGACCCCGTCGTAGGGAACATTAACAGCTGCAAACCTCAACTTTGTTTTATGGCAACTCTTTGGGAAAACTGGAACTTGGCCATCGCCTCACTTCCATGTATATGAACATATATGAACATATATAAACATATATGAACATATATGAACATATATGAACATATATGAACATACATGAACATACACAAAACATATTTAAATATATGTATGTATGTATGTCTGTATGTCTGTCTATCTGTTTGTCTGTATGTATGTATGTATGTAAATAAATCAGTGTATATATAATTATATATATACATATATTATTGCACATGGGGCTCCACAGCGAATCTACCCATCCCTAGACAAATTGCAGAACAAAGGCCAAAACCCACCGCTTTCAAACGGATCAAACAACAACATGGTTCCACAGGGGATATGGCCTTTGTTGGAATTGACTTCATCGTCAACGCAAAATCTGGGTTCCCCAAGCAGGACGTGGTTCTCGGATGGAAGTTGGAAATGCCTCGCAGGGCTGGGCCTTATTGGAAGGTATGTCATATGGGGTAGAAATAGATCTGCATTCAACAACATGACCGATCAATTTTCGATGTGCAGTATCTTCAACAACATCCATGGTGATTTGTGCGAACAATTTTTTCCATCCCAAAAACACATCAGAAATCGAATGGGGAGCATCAAAGCCGAATCGCAGTTTCAGAAGTTCAGCGAACATGATTGTAGCACCAGCCGAAGAAGACTTTCAAACACGAAATGCAAGTGAACGCAGAACATAACAGAGCATAGTTACGCGTTCGCTCTCACGGGATTTATGGTGCGCCACCCCTCCTGCGGCCACCGCGACTGTGTGGCTGCGCCATGGGATTCGTTGGCTTTCCAGCTGCCGATGTGGCCTCTGGTTCGAAAGAAATTCTTGGATGAACCAACCTTTCTCAGTCCGTAACTTGTCAGTAACTTGGGGTATCCGCTACATCCCATGTATCCGATGCAAACAGGGTTGAAGCATGTTGAAGCCATGGTTATGAACCACTAGCGGGATGCACCTATGAGTATCGTCCCCAAAATTGTGGCAAGAAAAGCAAAGGCCCAATTGAAATAGAGGGATCGCCCTTGATGCAAGCACTTGCGCATGCTTGCCTCACATGCCCATTCTTGGTGCGTGGTATTCCCCTATTGCCCGCCCCCCCAAAAAAACACTGGAGGCATCCATAACAATGTGCTCTCCCTGCGACGCTTGTCGCGCCTCACTGCCAGCCTCGCTTGGCTCATACGCCGACCTGGTTAGGTGGGGTTGGAGAAGGTTCCCAGCTCGCCCGCAGAGGACGCGTGGCGGGCCCCTGCCATTTTTGGCTGCGTTCACAAAACCCTCAGCGAGCTTCCGTTGCCCCAGTCGCAATTTGAACTTGCTCCATCGCTGCTGCTCTTTGAACCTCTTCCAGAGCACTTTGGGCAACATGAGCTTGAAAATTGCCTCGTCAACCGCAATGTATATTTGCATGCCGTGCACCAGGCGGATGCTAAACAATGAGTCAATGACTTATTTTGAAGTTGACAGCTGCTTCTTGCGCAAGTGCCAACTTGCGGAGGTATCGCTACTAATTACCTGGGGCTCGTGCTTCAGTGCTCACAGGATGCTCACAGGCTGGTTCAGTCACAAAATCACGCACATGCACAGAAACCTGCGGCATTTTGTAGATATAGTGTGCGGGTAGGTGAGTGGGGTGTCATTCATCACCCCAGGGTTACTATCCAACAGGGCTACTATTCAATCAAGTTGCCTTGGCACCCTGTCATTCTTGAAAGTTAGAAAAACTTCCACAACATACCCAGAACATTCAGAAAACTTCCAAAACATTCAAAACAACTCCCCACCCGGTGGATTGGCCTGTTGGGTGCCACAACTTTCATACAAGAAGTGCTTGCAAAACTCCGGTCTGTGTCCTGTCCTGCTGCTGCCTAAATATTTGCGAATCATTAAGACAACATGGGATTCTTGTGCGATTAAGAAGGAAACTCCTGAAACCATGTTTCCAGACATGTTCTTACATATTCTTTCGAACTACCAGTATGACGTGAATGCTTCTTTGAGATACTTTGAGATAGATCTGAATTGCACATCTGTCACATGTCACAAAGACGCGCGGGTTCTACGCATGTGCAGCCTAAAACAGTTAGCTTTCCTGGACTCGATAACCTTCCCCCCGCCGCACCCAAACCGCTTGTGGGACAAAGCGCTTGTGGGACAAAGGGCTGGGGATGTTGATGGGGAGAACGCCACACTTTCGGATTGAGGTCCTTCTCATCCAAGTTTCATCTAGGGTAAGATCTAGGGGTGTAGACACCGACGTTTTGAGTGGATGATAGTGTAGGAAATGGAGGGCTGGTTGGACCAAGAGGTTCATCATAATTTTCGATGTCCATTCGATTCATGCTTTGATTTGTATAGTACTTTAAGATACTTTAAGTACTTGTATAGCCTGTGGATGATTCCATACTTTAAGTTGTTACAGTATACGTACAGGTGGAGATTCATGCCATCTTTCGGCTATCGGTAGATGAGCTGCTACCACGTCCTGCACTGATGGAATAGGAGTCATGAGCACAGTTTCAGTTTATACCCTTAATATCCCTTAGTCAACCCAGACCGACTCTGCCTCGAATCAAACAGAGGCCCGAAATCCCCCAAACTCCGAAACCTATGGTTGGTTTGTTAATGTTTGAATATGTTTGAATATGTTTGAATAGCTGCTTCTCGAAATTGGGAAGCTCATTCGCAGGGACCTTGGACACCCATCACTTTCCCCTCCCTGGTGTTGCCGCCGGTTCCCATCGCTTCGGCATCCGTACCAGACCGAAACGCCTGAACTCAGACCTCCCCGCCTGGCGCCACGCGAGATCCCCAATTCATACAGACTCAGATTTCTTGAACCATCCACCCCAAACATCAGTTTTCGCATGTTCCCCCATGCCAAATAGCAACTTGTGGCTTGTGGTGTGTTGGGATTTGGGAACATCTCGGAGTATGTCGGAGCCATATTCATAAGGACAGCCAGCCCATGTCTGCGATGAACTGACTGTTGGCTAGAAGAAAGGGAAACCGGAAGTTTTGACACCTGAGAATGGAACCGGAGGCCTTCTGTACCAACTTCAGTTTAATAATGTTTATTCATCAGTTTGATGTTTGTATATGTTTGTGCATCATTTCTATCTTGATATTATCATATATCATATATCATCATATATCTCCCCATTTTGTGGTGTGCCATGAATCCCATTCGCGACAAAAATAAGGCGGTGCATCCCCCGGGCCCACCTGGCAGTGCTGTGTGCATCCCGACGGAGGCCAGACATCATCTTGGCTGTGGTCAAGGATATTCTAAACAAAAGCTTGCCCCCAAAAAAACATGGCATTTTATTGTTGTATGTTGAGGATAACATACAAAAACAGATTCCAATAACATCCAATAACATCCAATAACATCAGTGTTGTATGTTGAGAGGACGGACTCCAAATGGGGATGTTCACCAGTTGGCAAACCTGGCAAACCCATACCCAATGGGCTAAACCCTTACGGCAGGACATAGGAGGACCATATTCCATAACGTGTACATACATCTTTTTTAGGGATGATCATCCCACATAATATTGGACGCTACATGATCTTTCCGTGGTCAAAGGTAGGTCCTCGACAAGACTGTGGCTGGATTGGCTGGGCGAGCAGGGTGTCCCATCAATCGTGACCCGCATTGAGCAAAGCTAGGCAAAGAAACTCTCTCAACTTCAAAACTTAAAAGATCATCATGTAGCACTCTTTCCGCACAAAACATGGGATTTGATATGTGAAGATTCCCAACCGTGAGATCCGTGACCGCCGTGGCAACATTTTCGGTGTCTTTTAACACATGTGCAACAGTACGAAACTAACAGCCCGTTTCGGTTGAACAGGTCCACCATTGTCCAACATCTTGCTGGATCGTTGCACCATGTTGCACCAGCCACAGGGCCCTCTGAGTCACCCCGCTGAGGCAAATTTCATGGTTCGCGCGGAGAGGTGCTTGTTGATGAGTCTCAAGAACCTCACAGGCTGAACAAGACTTCTCATGAACCATTGCGAACAAAGAACATATCTACCCCTCGGTGTATACACATGTGTATACTAAAGCACTGTAGATATGTACTTTTCATACGTTGGTAGAAACTTGGATACCATCTCCGAAGTAGCAATTACTCCTGTACACCTCGGTGAACATGATAGATCCAGCATCAGCACCTATGTCCCTAGGGATGACAAGTTGGTCACGCATGCAAGACATCACTGACAGGTGAATGTGTGCACCTGGATCTAGCGTGAGTGGACCAGCTGATCTGATCTCAAGCAGTCAACCATCCGTCTTTTCTTGGTAGAATCCTCTGTCTTTCTTATTTTCTTTAAGTTACAAGATCACAATCTTTGATGGCTTCGTCATGCATTATCCCCAAAATGGTGATATTCTCTGCGATTTAGGATGTTTCAAATTGCTGAAATATCTCAACAGGATGACTCTGCCAAGGCACTCGCTCTCGGGGTGGCGAATATCCACACCTGGGCGTTTTGCCAAAGGGGGTGAACCAATGTTGAGGGGAGGCTAGGAACATCAAGGAACGCTCGGAAAATGGCTGAATTCTGTTACCATTGATTACAATTGTCGTTATTGTTAAATTATTGATTATAATGTTATGGTCGTTGTTGCGCCTATTTTTCATTCACAATCATTTACATTTCCTATTTTCTATGATAATGATGGTGATGGTGATGACGATGACGACGAAGAATTTCATCTATTCATTCCAACCATCCTGTGTGGTGTGTGATGTGAGCCATCTCCACGGGTCTTCCTCCAAAGTTCGCTGCATTGGTGACGCTGTTCCGATCGCTTCGACCCTAACATTGACGAATCTGATCCATCAGATCAGCAACGGTCAATATCATCATTCAATGACAATAAGCTTCACATATCCATACCAGGAGATCTATTGCTGTTAGACATGTCAGGACATGTCCATATCTATCCATCTCCAAGCTAGCCACATCATCCAAGTGGGCTTGATTTTATTTGAGGCTTCATCGGTTTCATCAGCGTTCATCCTGAATCCCAGCTGAAATCACCCGGGACCGACGCTTGCTCCCAGGACTTGTTGCATCTGAGCCTGCGTCGAATAAACAGCTGGTTGTCATAGCAGGTTCTTATCAAAGTTATCAAACTACCCAGAGGTTTCACCAGATACTGACCCATGTTGATTTTAGATCTCTCCATCTATCATCATCTATCAGTATGTCTCTTCTTCTTTCAAAATGTTGATTGGTTCTTTTCCTGGTTTGGTCAAGTTTAGTTCAAGCGCCCAACTCAATCCATAAAAGTTTCCATCCATCAAATTATCCACAAAGAATCAATCTCTCCGTCTCTCCCACTTACAAGTACGGCACAGTGAAACAATGGCACAATTTTCGAAAACCAATGCACTTCTGAACTCACCGTGTTTTCGTTGTTCATCTTTGCTCCTGACCCTGCCCACCTGAAAAGTTTGATTCGTCAACTGATTGCAGTCCTGCTCGAGCGGCACCCTCCATCTTGGGGTCATGCGAATGGAACGATAATGGATGTAGTCGAGTCCCCAATCTTTGAAAGGTGGATACTGTGTCCAGGTCATGAATGATCATGAATGGGGTCTCTGTTGATCTGTGGCCGTCCCTGAGACCCTCTGCAGCATCTTTTTCTGCAACGGCAATTGAAACTGTTGAACACACAATGGACATTTCCTAAAGCATTTTTGAAACAGAATACCGGACAGTGGATGTCGAATCTTGAGGACTTTGCGCCAAGTGAAGACCAAGATCCCTGATCATTTACCAATTAAAGCAAGTGCTGGATTAACCTTCTTGGAATTCTCAGGAATTTGTCAGATTTGAGATTAATTTCTTGGAAATTGCAAACCCAACTTTCAGAAACGGAAAGACAACCAATCACCATAGCCATAAAGCAGGTACCAATCTACTGGGTGAAGTCCTTCCATCTCCTTTTGAACTTTAGATCCCATCAGCTCCCATCGTGCCCGAGGCTCCACACCCACTGACAGTAGAGACGCTGGATGGCAGGACCACGCCTGGATGCATCCCATTCCCGGAATCACATTACCCCTTCCCCCGTCATACCAGGCCTCTGCCAAAAGGCCTCATTCACAACCTGTCTGGCGGCAGTGGCTCCCCGAGATTTAGTATATATATATGTATATATGATTTGTATGTATGTTATACATACATAAATGATCATACATGTACACTCTAATCTCTTCGGTCAAAACTTAGCCATTACCCCCAATGGGATAGGATAACACTAAGCATGCCCAAAATCTGTGGCCCCCTAGGCCTAATATAAAGTGTGACTCCGCCTCGTATCTATTGGACGAACACTGTAACTACTGTACCAAACTTCACTGATCACAGCTTCGAATAACAACTTCAGAAAATGTGCGCCCAAATGCGCCCAACCAACGAGTCCACATCAGCAGCAAAAACCTGGTGCCTATCAAGACCTTCTGCTTGAAAATCACGGAAACGTGGCAATGCCAATGTGAAAACACTGGACATGTTGGCCGCAACCCTGACATCTTTGCTTCTAAAGTTCATATAGCTATGGACATTTCAACCATTCAAATCCTACAACAAACCATCCGGATGGTGGATGAACATCCATAGGTAACAACATCTACCAGCTAAAATCAGATAAGTTTTGATAGTCTTGAGATGTCTTCAGATTTTCCTATTTTTTTTTATGTGGAACACCAGCCAAAAATCAGCTACAGTAAATCCTGGAAGTTTTGGTGTGAAAACCCGACGGCACCTCCATGGGCTCTGCTGCTTGCAAGGATGCCTCTGGCATAGGGTTTTGGATGGTTTTTGTTCATGGGAGGATCATCTATAAATGATGCCATAGAACATGATGACATCATCCACCAACTGGCATGCGCGATTAACATTTATAGTATGCTGTAGATGAGTAGTACATTGATATGGCATGGTTTCATATGTTTTTTGGGTTCATTTGCAGCAGCCGGAACACGTTAGCAGCCGCTCGTCGAAGCCATCGGTGAATCCAATTCATCCCGAGCATATCTCACCTATGGGCCTATAAGATCCAAAAATATATATATATATAATGATGTGTATATATATAATGATGTGTATATATATATGGTATATCAGGTCGCCAATCAGATGTATCTTGCCAATCTACAGCCGTGCCCACGGATTTTGATGATTCTTGGCTGCCTGATGTTCTCGCAGTTGTTCTTCTCTCAGCCTTGGCTGCTGTGACCGGGATTGGTAGCAAACATCTGAAACAACAGGCAGTGCGATCATGGCTGTCAAAGAAACAGACAGTCGAATCTGAAATGTATGTATGATACTCTATACTTTATGATAATAATATTACGGCAAAACCCTGAGGTTTGCCCGGACTCGCAACGAGCGTCCGGGCAAGCCAAGATGATGATGATGATGATGATGAAGAAGAAGAAGATGATGATGATGATGCTGATGTTTTTGATTTTGAAACCCTATTAAAAACCCAAAACGACTGCATGATTAATTGTTCCACGGGGCCGGGGCATTTGATATTTTCTTGAAGCCCCAAAAGGAACCCTAATGATTGTATGGTTAATTGTTCCATGGGGCCGGGGGATTTTTGACATCTTCTTGAGACCCTATAAGATCTTATGGAAACCCTAATAACTGTATGGCGAATTCCATATGATATGTAGAAGCGACATGTTCTGGTTTCATGATATGTAGAAGCAACATGTTCTGGTTAACACCCTAGCAACATAATTAAACATAAAATCCTTCCCGTTGTTTGACGTCGTACAGAATTCCCTGGTATTTACGCTATTCTGGGCTTGGGCAAACCTCGGGGTCTGTGTGTGTAATATTATACGATCATCCTTTACACTGCAAAGCTGTCAAACTCATTTGCCCCCATTCCACCCTGTCGTGGCAGCCAATGGGCGGAGGTGACGCTGCATCTGGTGTAGGAATCTCATCATTTGGTCCATCCGAAACGTACCTGTCGATGCCAAACAGGCCTAAAGGTGGGAGCGGTCCGTAGACCACTTGAATTTTTGCCTTTTCGCAGTCCTATTGAAGATTTAGACGACAGTGCTGGTGAAATTTCAGAACTCCATCTTCCGCTCCAAGATTCTTTCCTACATTTTTCTACATTCATGGGATTAAATAATATTAACATATATTATATAAATATATTTAAATACTAAATGCCCCAAAGGTTCCCCCCCAATGATATCCCAATGATAGCTGAGATTCACCCAGGTCACGGGACCATCGGCACCGGATTCGCGGCAGGGTAGCCCTTACCTGACCGGGTCGAAGCGTTGACGTTGCTGACTGGTCCGCTGGATACCATGGCCATTGTAAACCCATTGGAGAACACCCCGGTGGTTCACGGATGTGGGTCTCCATAGTCACGATCCTGCCGACTCGTGGATCAGCCATGAATTTTCCAGCAGATTTCCAAATGGTTTAGGATTCTGAGGCTCCTCACTGGGACCTTCGGACTCCTCAGACATAAAAGAGCTGGGTGCAGCAGGATCGGAGATCAAAAGTGATCCACCTTGTATGGGTAAAGGATGGAATGTGATGGAAGAATCTATTGCTTCATATGGTTTAAGGATGTTTAAGGATGTTTGATGTTTCACGGTAGGTTCTAATTCCCTGGCAATCCAAAATTGGATGCTTTCCAAGCCATAGTCAGCCTGGACCCATTTAGGATCTAGGATACAATGGTAGAAATGGTTGTATATTGATGGGTGCTTCATTATATTGATGGGAATTCATATGGGAACTCATATGGGAAATGATTGAATACTGGTATATCATGGCTGGGAAAAGATGTGATTGAATCACGTTGAACGATCATCGTATCTGGTCAATGGCTTTCACTCATCCCAAAACATCAAATGAATCAATGAAAGCATCCTCATCCCAGGTATGGCTAAACGGCTAAACGTATAAAATGTTGGAAACCAGAAACAGCAGGCTGCTTCTATATACCATCACCCAGTAGAATATCCCATTATTTCCCATTCTATCCCCACTATATCACCTATTTTTGTTATCAATCAGCACTTTTGGAGTACTCTCTGGAAATCAAACATGGCTCAGTAGGCTCAGTAATAGTTCGATGATTTTCCCATATATATCATTTTATGTCATAAATGATTATTTCCATTTAAATCTCCATTTTATGGATGATGCTCTCATTGAAACCTCCGTTTATGGCGGACTTCCCAGCCATGGTTGATTACTGGAGGGTACTCTGGCTGCTCCTCTGGATCTACTTTGCCAAGTGCGAGACCTGCGGCCGTGTCAATGTTCGATACCTTCCTACTGCACTACATGTGTATGAACACATATACAGTATACATGTATATACCACTCTCTCTCTCTATATATACACACATGGATACATATTAGATATTTTGGATACGTTACATAGTAGTACTAGACTACTACTTGACTAGTACTTGTATAATATATCTTTGTCGACACCATCTTAATCTCCATCGACACCTGACCTGTCCATTTGCCTGACTCTATCTCTGTGTCGGACGGTCTCCATGTCTGCATGTCTATCTGGCAGTCAAACTATCTCTACAAACTTGACATGCCTCAAAGGAGTGTTCCCTTAGTTCCAGCTTTAGACCAGCATAAGATGCATCAGTGCTCATCATGTCCACGGAATTTTGCTGGGAACGAAACAATGTTGAATCCAAGTCCACTGAACTATAATATACTGGAACGACACCGCAGAGCGCAAAACGGACAATTGAAACAGTTGGATCGGTACCTACCGTACATACCACATGAAAACATGTTGAGACACATCAAGCCTTATATGTTTACAACTGAGATCGTATACAAGTAACTCATATGCGCAATATATATAATATATACACACTGTATCTACTATATATAATACACATGATTATCTGATTATTCCGTATATAGACACTATAAGTATATACATATGTCATATACGCAATGCATCTTCGCCCAAGTCCAAAGCAGCCTGGAACTTGAGGAGATTTGGGGCTGCGTCGATCCTTCCCTGGTGACTGCCCTTAGCGGTACGCTTCGAATGGGTGGAAATGGCTATGGGGTGACTTTCCCAGATCGTGATTTTACACAACAAAACTTGAAATTTCACACGCCAGCTATGTACCACAACCCCAAACCTTGCAATCTCTTGGTTTTCACAGCAAAATAACTGGCTGTTGTGCAGTTGTGCATGTTCATTCTATACACAGTAAAAAGATGCAAACCATAGTGTTAAATAGTGGCCCCATTGGTTTTGACTTCCAGCCAAATCAGTCATCCATGCTGCTTTTTTGGCAGTTACACCCTGCTTCGACACAACTTGGCATCTGCTAAACACCAGCTTGACAAAAGTGACCCGACACACCGAGGCAAATATTGCAATTCTTCATAGGGGCTGTAAAGATCGTGCCATCACCTTCTGTATAATGACACATGGGCTGGAGGTGATCGTTTATTTTCAACAGAACTTGCAACCAGCCTAATATCATGAACAAGTTGCTCACATCAAGAGCAAAACACAGATTTGGTTGGCAAACATATGGATACATGCGTACGTATGTGCATATATTACGCATTCACAATTTGTGTCACCCGCGAACAAATCCACCATTCTGCCATAATTTGTGGGCAACAAACATATGCATAACAATTTTCATGCATATAATACAATTCTTGATATATATATATATATCTGAATATTCATTATTATATATATACACACGCATTTATGTATATACCATGGGTACATGACAAGAATCATGGGAATAAGAATAAAAAATCAGAATATTGCGAGTAATGAACATAATTTCAAAATCATCATTGACATATATCCCAGCTACATAATAAACATTGTAATCCATGGATATTACATTAGGTACATTCTGGCCAGTACACACATATCTGTATATATACATATATATATATATATTATATATGGCTTGGACTGACAGGCTGAATTCATTGTTGCAATGCCGCAACGACCTTCGTTACTATGGGCATGAAGAAAAACATATATTATCTTATATATAGAGTACATTGATATACATTGATACATTTCTTTATAGTTCACATCCTGATCACTTGTAGCCACTACCTCTGCACCAAGTCGCAAGGTGCTGGCGATCCGATGCCGCAGGCGCTATCAGGACTCGGACCTGGCAATTTATCCATGGCTAAAGCGCTGGAATCACCAAAAAATTGTGATTTTATCGCTGATTTATAGATCTTCGAGGTAGGGGGTCTCATCAGGGGATTGGCCTAGGGGTATCTCACTCAGCTTCGAGTGCAATGTCATTCAGATTTTGAATGAAATTGTCATTCAGGCGGCTCGAAGCTATGTTTTTTATGTGTGAAAATGGCGATTACAGCGACATTGTAATTTACCCGCAAACAACATACAGTAATTTATATAACCAGCAGAAATGGTGATTTGACCACCAAAAAATGGGATCAAACGTAAACTAAATGGGTTTTAATCAGCTAAGATGGCTTTAGCCATCAAACGGCTTGGACCACCGCCCCTGGAATCTCTTGGTTTTCATATGTTTCCATATCAAAACAACGCAAATATGGATAAATTATGATAAATATTGCATATTTTGATATATTGTGGCATTCCAAAGTACTCAAAGTGAGGTCTGCTGGACGCATCTTATAGGCACGGTTTGTTGAGGTCCATCTCCCGGGCACGGCCTGGTGGCCCATCTGAGTAGCCCCTGGCGACTGACGAATCTTTTACCGCCGAATTCTTAGCTGGGTCGTACTATATCATTTCACCATCATTTCACCATCATTTCACCATGATTTCACCATGATTTCACCATGATTTCACCATGATTTCACCATCATTTCACCTATTTTTGTCCATTTGCAGCAAACAAAATAGCATAAAATAGCCATCAACCTGCCCTTCACCAGTCCGGTTAGTGCCCCAAATTGTGGAGATCAGCTTCGCACCTGGGCTCATCCCGCCGTCCAACTGATTGAAGAGCGTCCTCTGGCATCCAGTGAATCAGCTGGGCACCAAACATATGACACTTGGGGATGAAATGGGATGATCATCCCATTTTTGGGATGCTAAAAAACTAGGTGTTGAAAGATCTTGAAAAGGACAAAGAAAAATTATCTTTTGAAAGATGTTGTGCCACTGCGGATCTCCCAATCGAAACAAATGGTGGGTTCCCTGTTTCTCAAGAATCAGCTCTGCATCATCATCTCATGTCTATCAAATGTGTTGACCCTTTCATACGTGTTCATAGATCGGGCCCTTTTGAGAGGATGCACGCGAAGACGTGTTGCGAGGCTTGTGGTGACATTGAAATGCATTTCTCTATCGTACTAAGGCCTGAAAACTAGATGAATGCTGCAATTGCATTCCTTGAAAAGAAGTGCTGTTCTTGCTGAAGAAACAAAAGATGCCCGCAGTAATCTTCATAATGACGAATTTGACATGGGTTTGCCCGAAATTAGGACACCACCAGTTTTCCTATATAAACATGTAGCAAATTTATATCATGTTATTCTGTGTTGGAGCATCCCCCCATTTTCGGACAAAACCACATGTGAGAACCATCCTAGGGCACCGCACCAGTAGCGGCTTGTAGGGGAAGTGCCCCTGACTGCAGGGCTCCACAAAGTCCATCAAGACATTGGCCGCCTCACTCTCTTCCTGCGATGGAAACATGATGGAGACCCCGGTGATGTGGCCTGCAGGTTGAATCAGCTCATTTCTTCATTGAACTCAGACACCAAAATGCTCTCGGCTCAGCACTTCTAATGCACTTCTATTTAGTGAATCGACATTGACATTTTGGAATTGAACCTACGTTTGAATGTTTGAATGATGTCAACATCTACTAACCAGATCGCCCCTGTTTTGTACATAATATAAGATAATATGTATATTATATATATATAACATTTCGAGCACCCAGTTTTGATCCATACTGATGTCTGCACGCTCAAAAGCACCCTTGACCCACGCAGCTAATATCCGGGGTCGCTCCGTCACGCCCAGCTCATGCAGAACAATGCGCCTTTGAACCAGTTCCAGTGAGAATAGACCGTTGGGATGAATTCGTTTTGCTAAACTTTGTCAGATTAGATGGCAGAGTTGAAAGCACTCAGAGGGTTCATGATGTCAACTTCGAAGGACTTAGGATTCTTGGATCTCGCTTGACCTGTGTTGTGGTGTGTTCTTCATGGGGCCCAGTGAAGGTTTCAACGATGTGCAGAATTCAGATTTGGAATGCAGCTGAGTGGTTTCATTGTTCAAGCCACGACAAAGTCCAGGATCTTAGGGATTCATATGGATTCATCAAAAGCAGAAAACCAAGGACGATCGACATGGTATCTATTTCCATGATGCTATGGAAATTGGTGTAGATCTCTGATGCAACATCAACAACTCCTAACAACAATGCAGGTTCAAAAAAAACACCTACAGTTATGGAAATTCTGGGTGCACTACCCCCGAGAGGTGAACTGTTCAACTATTCTGGAAGAAATCGAAAAACAACTGATTCAAATGATGGTTAAATCTCATAAAGCCATTGGTCGCAGTTGATAACCCCTGTTCATAATTGTTCATAAACCTATTAGTGCCACTCTCATTTTCCCAGTTACAGTAAATCCCATTTGTTTAATAGCAGAACCAGCATTTCTGATCCTTCCAACCGCCAGACCAGTATTCTCCCCACTCGTGGATTGTACTTCCTGGGTGTCACGCCAGCATTGGACAGGTAGAACGCCAGATCCCTGCAAACGGTCCAAACGAATCATATATAAACTTGCGCACACACACACAAACATATATACAAAATTATACAAGCATGTGCACAAACACACACACGCACACACATGTATGTGTAGAGATAAAGTAGCGTTGAACTTCACACCATTCTTTGCTGCCGGATTGGTCTGTCTCAAAGCAGGGTGCCTATGGGTACCTACTGGATAGTGAGGTCTTCAATCTTCCCACATCTTGTGACGCAGTGGGCATGATGTGATGTAACTGACGTAGCTCAAACCTTTCCCTTCACCGAAAACCACCAACATCCAGCCTCTTCATCGAGGGACCTGGTTCAAGCGCAGGGTCCCCTTGTCACCCCAAGATAGGTGCTAGCCCAATAGGCAGCATTTCATTTCGTCCAGACCTGAGGTTTATATACCTCAAGGTATACCCTAAAAACTGACTGGTTCATCATCTTTGATCATCATTTTCTCCATGAACATGGCCATAAAAATGCGCAGTTCAGCAACTGAGCTCGCGACTGGGTGATTCGTGCTGCTCGTCTAAGAAGGTCCTGGTCAGGTCATTTCCAGGGACATTTGAAGTAGTCCCCATGGATTTTAGATATCATCAACATAATCATTTCTATACATAGTAAATATCCAATATACAATAATACATACTATATACATTTTTTTAACAATTCAAATATTGGCCCATGGTTTTCTTGTTGAAAAACGACGACTCAAAAGAGAGATATTGCTTGCTCCGATGTAAACTCAATGGACTAATTATAGCGAGACATGGCTTCCAGCTGGCAGCTGTTGCACCATGGTACAAGACTCTGCAAGGCAACAGAAAGTCACAAAGATGGTCTGATTGTGTCTGGGGCTTACATGGCCCTTCTTTCAAACTTGTTCTATACATCTTAATACACCGGGAGTCGCAATTGGGCTTACAACATTCTGTTCTTTGTTGAAACAGAAAATACCTGCAGCGCAATTACCCGGATTAGGTATAGTTGTGACCCTGCACGAAGAATTTCCTCATTTGAAGGCATTGATCCACGCAGACTCCCATTAAAATACATCACGATGCATGAAGTCTATACATCCAATCCATTAGTGTAAATACGTCCGGACCATGATTCACGAAGTTTACTTTTTACAATTTATCCACGAACATACAGTTATCCCCCATTCTTCCCAGAACCCTCTATCACTTGAAGTCTCCCAGATTCCGTCCAGCACCAGAGGGGACGATTGCCCGCGGCCCTCCATGTTAACGATCGATGGGAAACTCACCCAACTTCGGGTCTCCCAATGTCTGCGGTTGTTTGTCATAGATGGGGCAAGAGCACCCCACTGACCGTGGTAAAGTGTGGATGACGTAGCTGGAGAATGTTGATCACTGATAACTCTGTTAGATGGGATCTATCCATTGCCATGGCCATAACTGTGCGATGGCTGCTTCAGACTGTTTCTTTTTGGAGAAACCTCTTATTCTTGGGTTCCATTCACATCTCAGTGTTTTCAAAACTCCGCAGCTTTTGCACAGCACATGTTCAACTGTGCTTATCATGGTCCCAAGCAAAGCTTCAGCCGGCTGAATTACGAGATAGCGGCATGGGTAGATCTTTCACCAGACTCTGTCAGTTCGCTGCCCACACCTGGGTTTGGGTCCAAATTGGTGTACCAGATATCTATAGTATGAATACGATACCATCATAAACCATCTCTTTTCTTGGGTCAATAGGTTTGACATGTTTTGGCTGACTTATATACTTACCAACCTTTTCAGTCCGTTTGAAATGTCAGCTGTCATGGGGGTCCATTCCGGCAGAGGTGTGTGCACAATCAATTGCACCAGCTCTGACTCTTGTAACACAATGAGGTAGAATCTTGCTCCCAACAGGTGTACGAGACTTGACATTGAATAAAATCATAACTACTGCCTCTCCCTACATGCTTAGATGAATTTTTCTTCGTGTTCAAGCCTCCTTGCAACAAATAGAGATTGTCTTCACTCTGTCCATGAGTTTACCCACTTCACAGGATGGGTACGGGCCCGGGTACGGGTCAGTTCACCTGGAATCGGCGAACTGAATTCCCAGTGATTCAGCCCAGAATTTGCTTCAGGCAGCACCGTTGAGGATTTTTTTTGCATCGCCAGCGGATCACCCAGCTCACTGGTAGCCAGGGCCCGCACCTGATTGGAAAATCAGCGATTTTGAGTCACTTCCATCTCAGGTTCCGACAAAATCTACAAAATGTTGCTTCAATCAAACAAATTTATTGAACTCTGATCCATAGAAAAGGATTGCAAAAACAAAATGGGTTTTAAAAGAGCCAAACTATCTTCTGCACATGTGGGGGCACAACAAATGATAAAACCATAAACGTCACGTTCCACCGGCTGTTCCCAAATCCAAAAACCATCCCAGCTCGACGAGTCGATCTATACATGAATTTAAATACGCATCTGGATCATGTCATTCTGGCCGCGTGAACTTCCAAAAACGCATAAACCGGAGGAGATGGGTATAGATCAAGACCATGCTATAAGCTATAGCTTCCCATTTCCATATATTTCCATTTCCCATGATTTTCCAAGACTTCCCCAAAAATTTCCCATTGATATTGATGGTCCCATAGCATCCCATAGCTACCCATGGTGGTGGCACCGGCCTCCCTCCGCATCCACCTGGCGGATCTGCCCAATTGGTGGTGATTTCCATGGGGAAACTATGGGAACATGATAAACACATATAATATGGGAAACATATATATATATATATATAAATGTCTATAAATTATAAACCATAAATTGATAAACCTTGGATTTTTTTGGCTACCCTATTTTATTTGAAGGCAAACTCCGATCGGTTGACCTTCGAAAAGGTCGTGAACATGAAGAACAATCAGTTGAAAATTGAAAGCATGGTTGGGAAGATCTTGGGTTGAAACCATACCAGCTGGCAAAACACAACAGTGATGAGTGATATATATATTTAAATATAAGTATATATATATATAATTAAATATATAATGATATAAATAGTTAAAAATAATTATATATATATGATTATATAAATATGATTATATATATATGATTATATAAATATGATTATATATATATATATGATTATATATAACTGATTATATATATATAACTTCCTTTACTTCGTGTGATCCCCACCATGACATTTATACATTTTCTTACTGGCAAATCTTCTGGCATTCTATCTGACAAATATTCTGGCATTCTACCTGGCAAATCTTCTGGCATTCTATCTGGCATATCTTCTGGCATTCTATCTGACACATCTTCTGGCATTCTATCTGGCATATCTTCTGGCATATATTCTGACATATCTTCTGGCATACCTTCTGGCATTCTATCTGGCATATCTTCTGGCATATGTTCTGGCATATCTTCTGGCATTCTATCTGACACATCTTCTGGGATTCTATCTGGCATATCTTGTGGCATTCTATCTGACATTTTTTATCTGGCATTCTATCTGGCATACCTTCTGGCATTCTATCTGGCATTCTATCTGGTATATCTTCTGGCATTCTATCTGGCATATCTTCTGGCATTCTATCTGGCATATCTTCTGGCATTCTATCTGGCATATCTCATGGCATTTTATCTGGAATATCTTCTGGCATTCTATCTGACATTCTATCTGGCATATCTTCTGGCATTCTATCTGGCTGTTGAGGTCCAGCGGTGCACACTGAGCTGGGCAGGTCCCCGGTTGAGGTCCAGCGGTGCACACTGAGCTGGGCAGGTCCCCGGTTGAGGTCCAGCAGTGCACACTGAGCTGGGCAGCTCGCAGGTTGAGGTCCAGCGGTGCACACTGAGCTGGGCAGCTCGCAGGTTGACGTCCAGCAGTGCGCACTGAGCTGGGAAGTTGGCGAAGAGCTTGGCGACGAGTTGGCAAGGTTGGCAAGGCGGAAGTGGAGGTGGAAGAGGCGGAGGCGAGGAGGACAGCTAGTCGAGGAGGAGGAGGCGGAGGAGGAGGAGGCGGGCATGCGCTCTGATAAAATCTAACAACCCTCACCTGGCAGGTGGGGAATAATTAAATATATAAATAATTATATATATATAGTTATATATATATGATTAGATATATAATATATATAATTATAAATATAATTATCTATGTAATTATATATATAAGTATATATAATTATATATATAATTATATCTATAATTATTTATATATATATAATATACATAATGAATTATAATGATTACTTTTTGACACCGAATAAATAGCTCACACATTTTGAAAGGCACCCAAGAAAAGGATCTCATCTCGGGTAATTCAATGTGATATGTGTGATTCATCTCCCGCCGATGAGCCAAATCACTCGATACTTCGTATTCCGTATCATGATGTACTATGATATGATAATGTCATATTGTATTCCACCCTATTCCACCATATTCCACCATATTCGACATGAGGGATTCAATGGACTTCCCTCCCTTTGGGTACCTCATGGTACCTCTTCAGGAGGCCCACCCCATTTTCCCAACCTTTTTCCGCTTCTTGGACTTCTTTTGCTTCACAGTCTGTGCCTGGGTTCCGCGGAGTGGCATCAGAATATGCTGTCAGATGAAAATGGTATCCTGATTTTGTCTTCTATTCCACAAGGATTCTGCAGATTCACTTTTTCATAATTTTTCTCTACCTGGGAACCATCGTGTCTCCAATCAGTTCTATTCTATTCTGCCAGACTCTGCTTCTCACGTTTCAGCTGCAAATTGTACACCATGCTACAGTTTCACATTTCACGCGCCAGTTCTTCCACTTTCATCCAGTTTCGTGGTTTCCATCAACTTCTCTCAATATCCAGACTTTACCGTCCATATCCTCAAACTTTCCCACCTAAGTGCAGAAACATGAGAAACCCGAGATCTTGAAAAACATAGTGAAACAAACAGGGTATGTGCACTAGCTGCAACAAAACAATGCACCATGCGTCCGGAAATCCATGGAAATTCTCTGAGTCCTGGAGATCTGGCCCCAAAAAACACCAGCAGAGCCCTCTGTCCTCATCATCATCCACAACCTCTAGCACTGCAGCTGGTATCTGTCGCCGAGGCGAAGCGGTGTTTGTGCAGGGACTTTGGAATCTATGGTAGATAGACCTGGGAAAACTGTATGAGTACCAGATTCCTGATTGCATTAGCGCGCCTCCTGAAACACGTTGCTTTATTCTCGAAGACAAGTAATCCCAAGCAAACTCCTCTAAAACCATTGTGTGAAAGTGCGTGCGCCGAGACCCAACGCAAATCGAAAATTACAGACTTACACAATGATTCGGTTTGGGTCAAGACCATGAGACAACAGTGGCAACCCCTGTCAAAAGGCATATATATATATATATACACGGTTAATTTTTTGCACAAAAAACATCCACCATTGTGAACCATACATTTGCAATATCAAGATATCAAAAAATATTGGTTTGCCTGAAAATAGGTTACCCCGAATCCCATGGTTTATCATCATTTCCAATCGTAAAATTGCCATTCGGGGGTATACTGTATATTGGTATACAACATTTTCAGGCACACCCAAATCATGTTCAGTTGGTTACATCCTCATATCCCCATGATACCTCAGAAAAAAACTCAGAAAAAACATCAATAGTTGTGGTTGGCTATACATATATATATATGTGTATATATATCTATATGTGGATTTCTCCAATACCTTCTCATTCAAATCCAATGATCATGATTGGGAATTCAACCCAATTGGTTCTACATCTCATGGTCGGATATATATATATATAATCCCACTATATTCCGACAAAAATTCCCAGCGATACATTAAAATCACATGAAATCCCTATTGGCTGCTCCTTCAATCCAATCCACGCGCCCTTACCCCTGCCGCGCCTCAGCCCCGCTGACCTCCGCTGAGGCGGCTTGCTGCCGCAAGAGCTTGGCCTGGCCATAGTCAGGGTAAATTCTGTTACAACTTGGGTACGAGTATCCCAATTTTTGAAAACGTCCAGATGTGTATGTATCTATACATACATATATATATATATATAGATATAATATATAGATATAATATATATATATATGCATTGAAGGACAGAAAGTTGCACTTCTTGAGCTTCCCACAGTAGATATGTTTGGTTTCTTGTTCTGCACACCCTTTCCCCATAGAGTCCTAGCATGGAGCTTTGCTGTACTCCGGTCGAATTTCCACCCTCCAAGAGCTTTTTAATCTCATAGATGTAAAAGCGGGTGATAATTGACCCCCCCAGCACCTGCCACACAAAATGGGCTTGGAAATGTGATCCGCGGCT